CAACCATTCACTCTCTCACTCGCACCTAGGGACAATTTAGAGTTACCAATCAGCCTAACATGCATGTTTTTGGTCTGTGGGAGGAAACCGGAGTACCCGGAGAAAACCCACGCATGCACGGAGAGAACATGCAAACTCCACCCAGAAAGGCCCCTGGACCGGGGTTTGAACCAGGGACCTGCTCGCTGAGAGGCAGCAGCTCTACCAGTTGCGCCACCGTGCTGCCTGTGTAGGAAATTATTATTATTATTATTTTTACTTTGGCATTGAATATTGGCATCAACTTGGTCTGTTATGAAAATGTTTCAGAACCCGCTGATGATATTTCAGTAAAACTTTCCAAAAGTAATCATTGGGTGTTTATCTCTATCTGAATAATTTAAGGTGTCATTCCATTTTAATATCACTTCAACAGATCCTGGCCTCATTAAACACAAACATATTTATACGTTGGTCAATTTTTCACATGGTAAATGGAACATACTTATATATCACCTTTCTATCTGATCAAGATCCTCAAAGATCTTCACACAACAATCTGTGCCTCATTTACCCATTCATACAGCTCTATACTAGATCTCTACAAAGAGTTATCAGAGCTTTGTCACATTCAGACACCGACGGGACACACATCGGAGGTAATGAGGGGTTCAGTGTCTTGCCCAGGGACACTTCGGCATGTGACTGCCGGTGGAATCGAACCCTCAACTCTTGCATTGGAGGACGACTGCTCTAACCGCTCAGCCACAGCCACCATCGTGTGTAGAAGCTGGAAGTGATCCCTAACACATATTCCAAGTGCCACCTCTTGCACAACTGCTTAGATTAAAATATTGATAATGATTTAAAGTCAGCACTGTCTGTCTGTTAGAAAAATATCTTATGAACCAAAGGACATATTTTTATTGAGAAAATCCATCCATCCATCCATCCATTATCTTTACCCGTTTATTCCATTTTAGGTCACGGGGGTCGCTGGTGCCCATGTCCAGCAATCACTGTGTGAGGGGCGGGGTACACCCTGGACAGGTCGCAAGTCCATCACAGTATTGAGAAAATAAAAAATGAAAATTTAAAAAGTAAGATGCATATTTAGAACCATTGGCATAATGGGATAGCTTCATCTTAATATTTATCTGGTTTGATGAA